AATTATAAATTAATAATTACTAAATTAATTAATTAATTAATTACTAAATTTATTAATTTATTATTATTTTGCTGAGAAGCAATTATAGCTAATGTCAAAATACGCTTTCGATCAGCCATTTTGTACAACACATATGTAGGCACAACACACATGTAGTATGTCACATTGAGCATTCTTCCATGGCTGTTCGAAAACTACTCTCGATTCTCTAACGTCCCTATCTATTTTAGAACATTAATAATATATTATTATAGACCGGGAGGCCGACTTGTCTAATTTCAGACATCACTAGACATTTTATCCCCATGTTACTAGATGTAAGTACGTGCGCATATGTATATTCGCGAGCGTTAAAACATTATAATTAAAATGCCGAATGCTGCGTGCTGCTGGAAAGTCTTGAAATCGACGGATCGACCTAAAGAAATCGTTATCGCTCAGTGCGATAAGCTAACATAAACAGGAGCATGAAAGCCGAATCCCAAACATCACTCAGGACACCGACGCGGTCACATCATGCAAAGGAATGAATCTCTTCCCTCGTCATAACTCCATGGACCAATTGGAGAACGACTCTCAGCGACAAAGCGACATATAAAAACGCGCGCATTTGTAGAGAAGGTAATTATTTTCTTCTCATAATTAGTCTCTGGTAGCTTTCGTGTACTTATTCAGAATATTATACTTAGTCGTAAAATCCGACTGTGTTGCAATTACTTTTGCCTACCCTTCATATTTCAAACGTTGCGAAATCAAAATTCTGAATCGCGGGCCGCATCAACCCGCGTAGTATCGGAACATCCGAGGCCGAGCCAGGAGAACAAGCACCGCTGATTTTTCGCCAGATTCATCAATCGTTTCGCCAGGCTCCCGAGACCCAGGGTAAACTCGGTGAAAAGCAGAGTGACCCAAAAGCGGAGCCATCACTCTGTTGACCGTCCACGTAAGTCACTGATTTCACTACTTTCAAATTTCCCTATATAGTTATCTATGGCTGCGTTCAGATTCCCCACCCGGGTGTATTCTATTACTAGAAGTACTATAGTATATGTCACATATACTATTGTTACGTCCACGATAGATAACTATATAGGGAAATTTGAAAGTAGTGAAATCAGTGACTTACGTGGACGGTCAACAGAGTGATGACTCCGCTTTTGGGTCACTCTGCTTTTCACCGAGTTTACCCTGGGTCTCGGGAGCCTGGCGAAACGATTGATGAATCTGGCGAAAAGTCAGCGGTGCTTGTTCTCCTGGCTCGGCCTCGGATGTTCCGATACCACGCGGGTTGATGCGGCCCGCGATTCAGAATTTGATTTCGCAACGTTTGAAATATGAAGGGTAGGCAAAAGTAATTGCAACACAGTCGGATTTTACGACTAAGTATAATATACTGAATAAGTACATGAAGCTACCAGAGACTAACTATGAGAAGAAAATAATTATATATATTGCCTTCTCTACAAATGCGCGCGCTTTTATACGTCGCTTTGTCGCTGAGAGTCGTTCTCCGATTGGTCCATGGAGTTATGGCGAGGGAAGAGATTCATTCCTTTGCATGATGTCACCGCGTCGGTGTCCTGAGTGGTGTTTAGGATTCAGCTTTCATGCTCCTGTTTATGTTGGCTTATCGCACTGAGCGATAGCGGTTTCTTTGGGTCGATCCGAGATCCGTCGATTTCGAGACTCTCCAGCAGCACGCAGCATTCGGCATTTTAATTATAATGTTTTAACGCTCGCGAATATGCATATGCGCACGTACTTACATCTAGTAACATAGGGATATAATATCTAGTGATGTCTGAAATCAGACAAGTCGGCCTCCCGGTCTATAATAATATATTGTTAATGTTCTAAAATAGATCCGGACGTTACACTATAGTGTTTCTAGTAATAGAGTGCACCCGGATGAGGAATCTGAACGCATCCTATCGTGGACGTAACAATACCAACTCCACTAACCCCACCAAGCCCATCCACCACAGTCACTTTCCGTCGTGGACTTTCAGTGTTTTCGAACGCACCCCATCCTAGACAGCACATGGATATCCTGTGGATATCAACAAGATGTCCTTTAAGGATATTGAGGATATTCATAAATCATACGTTTTACGTCATTCAGATATTTATCAGACGTTTGCGGGATATCCGTTAATGTATTACGTAATAATATTACATAATATTATAATAATACTTATTATTTATGTAAAAGAAATAAATTGGCACGCGGTCTGTAATCAATTTACTTGTAATTGTTATAGCTGCGATTGTAATTAATTTAAAATACTCGTACATTATACATTATAAAAACAAACCAGATAGAAATGCGTGATGATCATGTTTCATCATAATGTGACTTCATACTATGACTCCAATTTTATACTTTTTTAAAGATTATTACGTGATCTTATGACATGAGCACCAGATGCACACAAATTATGTTGCAAATTCTTGACATGATGTTGATTATTATTATTAAATGAAGTATTTTTGTGACATCATAACATGTCTACATTCTGAGGCGCATATGAGCCCGCATCGGTGTCTATTCTTGTCTTCATGCTTGAAGATACATGAATACAATATGAGCTCAGAATGAACACATTTTTCTATCTGGGTTAAAAACAAAAACTGTAATTTAACAACATTTTATATATCAAAAATGGCTAACATTCGTTGTGATACATTAGGTACTTGTTGCAATTTATTCGACAAAATTATGAAGCGTTTTATTTCTTTTCGCATGAGAATTGAATATAAAAAAGGAGAATTAAAACAAAAATATTTAATAGCAAGACAATGGCTAGACATTCTATTGTCAAATAATATATTACATGTGTACTGTATATTTATGTATATTTATAGTGTTCTGACATAAATAATATGATTGAAAACATGTTTCTTCTCTTTTTGTTCCTATCCTACTATTTGAATAATATCGCTCGCAAAGCATAGATTCGAGACATCTTATTGGTTCTGCCATATTTTGTCAAAACCAATAGAAAATCTGACAACATATACTAGACTCTTACTATAGAGACTCTAGTTCAACTGGCTCTGGGTTAACCTAGTGTCCCTAGAATACAGAGTCTGGCCATTCGGGCCGGATTCCCTCAAAATGGCATATGTATGTCATGAGTGAACAGCGGAAGTTTCCTAGTCGTTTCGTAGTGGTTTTGACTAAAACAGATATCAAGAGAGTAAGTAATACAGTAAGATATTTTATATTTTTTTTATTATTGTAATAAACATAAAAGATATCACTAACATTATATAACTCTTTAAAAGTATACAATAATATACACTAGCTAGTCGCTCTCTAACCTCAAAATGCCAACAACATTCGTAACTGAGTTGGTTTTAAAGTATTACTGAAATAAATTTCACTAAATAAAACTAATTACAGGATACATATAATGGGCGCATTCAGTAGAAAAAGCGCTCAGTGAGCAATCAACGATTATTGGTTCTTGCTATTAGATCCCTAAATCTAGACCAATTACATTGACAAATTACTCAACTGTTGTGCAACTGTTGAGTCTGCTGAATGCAGCCAATGCCTTCCTGCTGTGTAAGAAAATGTTCCAACTCTTCGAAAAAGGGTTTTTCTATGCATTGCCTTCCACAAAATATGGAGCGAAAAAAGCAATGAATTGCGAATATTGATAGGGATTTCGACCTGTCCAAAATATATTTTATCTGCGAGGTAAACTTTATTTTCTCTCTCTCTCTCTCTCTCTCTCTCTCTCTCTCTCTCTCTCTCAATACTCTTTGTGTTCTTATAGTGAATTCGGTAGCTTGCACTAGTGCGCACTGAGTGCGCATTAAGGCTTGTTTACAGTATATTCTTATATTTAAGATCGTGTCTTAAATACATATTTAAAAACATTTTAACTAATAAAATGATTCGTACGGATGTTATACATATCATATTATGATTAAAAATATTTGAGAATTTATTTGAGAATTATTTAAGACAATCTTTAAATATAATAACATACTATGAACAAGCCTTAGTGCGCACTCAGTGTACACTAGTGCAAGCAACCGAATTCGTTATTAGTTTTTTATTTATATATTAAACTATATTAATATGCAATAGGCACATTTTCCAGCTGAGATGTGGGAAAAGCCACGTAGTGATGGCAAAAAGAAATTAAAAGAGATAGTTCCAACGATTTTTTTGGACAACGGATGTAGTCAAAATAAAAATGGTGCAACCTCTGTGCAAATGACATTGGTTCTGCTTCTTTACATGTAAGTTTAACATAAAATGTATGTTATATATTTGAATAAACTATATGTTGTTAAAAATATATACATTTATATTAAGTGTACAATAAATAATAAGGTTGTTTTATTTTA